GATGGATTCAATGAATGCATTGAGGAACCCCATCCATCACCACTGAGCAAGATAAGATAACTAGCAAGTTGATGTTACAAGTTTTTAATGAATCATTCTGGAAGGACATGACAATAAAACAAAGGGGTAAAACCCCTCTAAATAAACTCCATATTGCTTTAACTTTTTTATAATTAAATTTTAGATTATGCCATGATCCCACAAAATTGATGTTTATGGTTTATGAGTTCATTTTCTTCAAATATTTATGGATTTCGATATGAGTTATTAGGAAACCAGTTGATGCATGGAGAAAACAAAATTGGAATAATAACAATAAAAAAGAAAAGGCTGAGAGAATATACCCTCTCTCGAGGTCTGCAAGGGAATCCACCCAAAAATGATCCCTTCACAAGACCAAATTTTATTCAATTCTCATTCGCCGCCTTTACAAGGAGGGAGTATCCTTTTAAATAGTCTTTGAAAATAAATAAAATTAAGAGAACTTGGGCCATACGATATAAAAAATTTGAATACCCCACATCTTCACCTCCGATATAGACAACACTATGGCAAAGACAAAATCCCATTTTGAATTATAATAAGGCAATCAAAAGCACATTTTAAAATACACAAGATAATAGTTGTATCTGCTGTAGACAATTTCCCTAAGTAGACTACAAGTGTCTACTAATTGACCTTATCTCTGATACTCTGTATGAGGCTCAATAGTCAATACATCGACTTCGAATCTATGGAATCCTTCTCCAGGCCTTAGAGACCTCTGATCTCGATTACTTGATAAAGTTCTAAGTTGCTGAGACGTGAGATGCCATTGATGTAGGAATCTTGATTCTAAGGGGGTTGAAACTCGACCCTAAAGAGTTACAAATCTTGATTACCAGGTGAGTAGAAGCCCGATTCCAAACTGATATGAATCTCGATTCCAAATATGTCAAAAACTTGTTTTCAAAGAAGTTACAATATCGATCCCATATATGAAGGAATCTCGATTCCATATGGGTTCGACCCCAAATAGATCAGAAACTTGATTCCAAAGATGTCGGAATCTCGACTCCATATATGTAGGGATCTCGATTTCATTTGGGCCAAATCTCAATTCCTATAAAGTAGGAATCTTGTTTCCCATAATTCCCCTAGTACAGACGTTGATTCTAAAAACAGAAATCTTCTAACCAGCCACAATTCCAGTTCCTAAAACAACTCAAAGTTTTAGATGTTTCCAACAACTATGGGATAAAGTTAAAAAAACTCTTGGGAAAGTATAGATAGGTACCACACTAAAGTCCAAATCTTTAAAATCGTGCTCGTGGAGCTTCATTGATGCCATATAAGAGCTAGTGGACGTACATGAAAACTCTCTTGCAGACAAGAATGAAGAAAAACACTCTTCGCATCCAACTTAAAGAAAGGCCACTTATGAACTGCAGTTACCCACAAAAAAAAACAAAAAACGTGTCTCGATAGTAGTCATATTGTTGACAGGTGAAAGATTTCTCTCGATAATAAATATGAGTCTATCAAACAAAGCAATTTGCAACTGACATTCATTCGTACAAATCCATAGACTCATTTGAGTTGGTCATAATCTTAAAAATCAACTTGTAGCCAATTGCCTCTTTCTTTGTGAGCAAGACAAGTGATATCCAATGTATAACTCTGGCTTAAAAATATCAAGCTTTCCCTACAATAAATGCTGCCAAAGGGGCCTTCCAATATGCCAAAGGCTTCCAATGTGGTCTTGAAATTGCTACATAACAAGAAATGAACAAGGTCGAAAACAAACATCCAATCCTTTAATGTATATGTTTATTTACTTTGGTGGATGGTTATTGGCTAGAGCTGCTGGGGAATAGATAATAAGAAGGGCCATCAAGATTTCCATATAATGTTCTAAATAAGACATTGATAGAATCGAAAGAACTTCAATGGATATAATTTTGATCCATCGAAATTTACAAGTTAGGGCATTATTTTTGCAAGACTAGGTTGGTACTTCCACCCAAGAACCTACACCCCCCCCCCCCAAATTCAGAGAACAGCTCCCTATGCACTATTTACCCAAATTCTCATATCAATGTTATCTCACATCCATTATCCTACTTTCCATACCTTTCTATGCATCAAAAGGAAAGGGTAACTTAATTGAGAGTAAAATGTGAAGCAGCAGGATTGGAGCATTGCCTTGATTGGACTATTTTAATTTGACATCCAAGATTTGAATCCTAAACTATAAAGCCAAAAGGAACAAAATGACCTTTTTCCTTTTCTTTTACCCCAAAAAAAAAAAAAAAGCTAAGCAGACACATGTATACAATTCTTTACAATATGAAGGATCTTCACATATATTATCTTTGAAGGTGTAGAAGGATATTTGAAAGTAAAATAAATAGTGCTTTTGAAGATTACGATACCGTAAGAAGAAGAATTTGAAGCTTTCGAATTAGGTTTGGACTTTCTAAGGAAGTAGGATATAATATTTTTTAATGTGGAAGTAGAGAATAACATAATCAAAGCTTTAAGAAGAACCGATTGGGACATTCAATAAAGAAAACATATGGCGAATGGCATTCAACAATCACATAAAATGTTGATGGATAAGACACTGAAGGTGTTCATAGAAGACAATAGATACGTTGATTCTGAAAACAGAAATCTTCTAACCAGCCACGATTCCAGTTCCTAAAACAATTTAGAATCTCAGACGTTTCCAACAACTATGGGATAAAGTTAAGAGAACTCTTGGGAAAATTTAGCTAGGTACCACACTCCAAAGTCTAAATCTTTAAAATCATGCTCGTGGAGCTTCATTGATGCCCAGTGTTTCAAAAAGCGCTAGGCGGGTCCTCGGCGTCTGGGGGGTCCAAGCCGCCCAACGCCAAGGCTGGCGCCCAAAAACTAGACAGCCCAGTCGAATCCAAAAAGGATGTCCATTTGAATAAAAAAAGGATATATAGTATAAAAAATAAAAATTAGGTATTTAGGGCACTTACTTTGAGTTTCATTGCTCAATCTTCAAACTTCCACCTCAAAGATGCTTCTAAGGACTCAAAATCTTCTAAAAACCCCCCAATAGATTTATAAAACATCAAAAATTAAATCTAATATCAATGGGTGATGTTTTGATCAATTTTTCTAAACTTTGAGAAACCCTTCGATCTTAAAGAAATCACCAAAAACTAGTTTTTTGAAAGCTTTCTCTCTCTAAAATGGGCTCCAATAAGTTCTAGGTTTCAAATGAACTTAAAAACATCCAACACTTTATATTTTTTAAAAAAACTTCAATACAAAAAAAAAAATTTGCCTCTGGGAGGGGCGCATGCATAGGCAGGTTCCGTACCTCCTAGGCGGGGCATGAGCGCGGGCCCTGAGCTGGGTGCCCGCCTAGGCGGCGCCCCAAGGACTGCCGCCCAGATTGGCCGCTTGGGCCTGGGCGATGCGCTCAGGCCTTCTGGACTGCCTAGGCGCTGGGCGGTCTGCTTTTTTAATCACTATTGATGCCATATAAGGGCTAGTGGAGATACATGAAAATTCTCTTGCAGACAAGAATGAAGAAAAACACTCTTCGCATCCAACTTAAAGAAAGGCCACTTATGAACTGCAGTTACCCACAAAAAAAAACAAAACAAAAAAAGTGCGTCTCAACAGTAGTCATCTTGTTGATGGGTGAAAGATTTCTCCCGATAATAAATATAAGTCTATGAAACAAAGCAATTTGCAATTGACCCTCATTTATAGAAATCCACAGACTCGTTTGAGTTGGTCATAATCTTAAAAATAAACTTGCAGCCAATTGCCTCTTTCTCTGTGAGCAAGACAAGTGATATCCAATGTATAACTCTGACTTAAAAATATCAAGCTTTCCCTACAATAAATGCTGCCAAAGGGGCCCTGCAATATGCCAAAGGCTTCCAATGTGGTCTTGAAATTGCTACATAACAAGAAATGAACAAGGTCGAAAACAAACATCCAATCCTCGAAAGTATATGTTTATTTACTTTGGTGGATGGTCCTTGGCTAGAGCTGCCGTGGAATAGATAATAAGAAGGGCCATTAAGATTTCCATTATAATGTTCTATATAAGACATTGACAGAATCAAAATAACTTCAATGGAGATAATTTTGATCCAACGAAATTTACAAGTTAGAGCATTATTTTTGCAAGAACACGGTATCCAGGTTGGTACTTCCACCCAAGAATATGAAGGATCTTAACGTATATTATATTTGAAGGCATAGAAGGATATTTGAAAGTAAAATAAATAATGTTTTTGAAGATTAAGATACCTAAGAAGAACAATTTGAAGCTTTCGAATCAGGTCTGGACTTTCTAAAGAAGTAGGCTATTTTTTTAATGTGGAAGTAGAGAAAAATATAATCAAAGCTTTAAGAAGAACCGATTGGGACATTCAATAAAGAAAACATCAGGCGAATGGCATTCAACAACAACAGAAAATCTTGATGGATACGACACTGAAGGTGTTCTTAGAAGACAATAGATACGCATTGCGCCCCCCCTGGCCCCCTCCCCCCGTCCCTACAAAAAAAAAAAAAGAGAAAAGAATTGTACAATTTCTAGGTTACAAGCAAAGTTCTCTCTCTCTCTCTCTCTCTCTCAGACAGACAGACACACAAGGAACCTCCCAAACGCAGTGGAGAGACCAGAGTTCCAGGTTTTCCTTAATGAGTTATCTCTCTCAAACAATCTCCCAAACACAAGGGAACAGCCAGAGTTCTAGCTTTTTCTTAATGAGTTTATTCAAGGTACTATCCAACTCCATGAAAAATAATCCCATGACAATAGGCTCTTGTACTGCACTCGCATCGCACAAAACTCCATGAAAATAGTTAACTGATAAGAAACAATCTTCCACAATGACAGACACCAAGGATCAACCAGAATCAAGAGAACAAATAAGAAAGCAAAAACCAACAAATCCGAGAAGGAGAAACAAACAAAAACAAGCAGAAGAAAAGAAAGCCAATTTTCTCGTTCTCACCGACAGTTGCCTGCTTTGAAATTTGGTCCCCTAATTTGATGACTTCTTCCCACTTGACACGCTGCAGAGAAAAAGCGGGCTCATCCAAAATCTGGTTCAAACAGAACATATAACAACGTTAATACGCATTTCTTCTTCCGAGAAAGTCAGTGAGAAGAGTAGAAAAAGTCACCTTGAGGATTTCATTAATGGCGAGAGTGTGACTGCTGAGAGCGCGATTTAGGTCCTTCTTCACCGACTTCGCCATATCCGTTTCTCGAGTACTCTAGTTTAACTGCGTGAATCTATTGTCCTTATAAAGAATCAAATTTATTTTTGCTACGTGTGTGCTGATAAGCCTCCCAGCTAAAACCTAATATCTGGTTGACAAGAACCCCTGCCTTTAATAAAGATAATAAAAAAAAAAAACAACAAAACACAACGTCGCAATTATTATTGACTATTAAAATTGAAAGGGAAAAGTTTATATAAGGTTGCAACCTTAAAATGTAGAATCACACGTGAACGTAAAAAAACTACGGAAAATGATGTTTTAATGTTGAAAAACCCTCTAATGGATCATCTCGAAATATTTTGAAAACCTTTTTCTTCACATGCATATGTCTAGGGGTCGAGATAATCAATTGAACAGTTTTTTGGCATCAGAACAACCTTTTGGATACCTAGAAAGATATTATCTGTAAAATATATTACTACGTAATACATTATATGCAAATAGATCGTTATTATTTGGGTAGTATTTAAATACATTGCTATTGTTTGGCTATATCCAAAAGAAATATGGGAAATGTATTACCAATATTTTACTAGCAGTTGCCTATAAACTATCATTTTTTTCTTTTTTTGTTACAAAATTCTACTAAAATACAGAATTAAAGTCATCATCACAGCATTCTAAAAATATTTTCTAGCAATAACATCATCACCATTCCAAAATTTTTTTTTAATAATAACTTGTACCCTTCTAAAGTCATGATGATACAATTTCCTAGTTATTTTGCATGCCTTTGGCACTTACATAGAATCACATGTCTTCTAACATGATTAGACTTTGGTTTCAACATGATAAGTCAGTGGAATAATGCGATTGGAATAACATGATTTTATTGTGATAAGCCTTATTTTTATTTATTTTTTATAGAAGTCTTTTAAATGTCTCTCTATATATAATTTCAAATGAGCAATAAATTTATGATACCAAAATCAAAATCTTTATATATAATTTCAAATAAGCAATAAATTTATGATACCAAAATCAAAATCTTTATGGTACAAGTTAAAAAATGGGAAGAAGTTTTATTAGTAAACTAGAAAGTTTGATAAATGCAGTAGAAAATTTTGAAGCATTAGAAGAGACTAAAAATGTATCTTATTTCAATTGAGCTTTTACTAATCTTTTATGATGATTATGCTGTGTGAAATTTTTTATTATGATTGTGTTGTGTAAATGTCATATTTCTTTATAATCTATTGTCACGTAATAGATTTACACGTATCCAAATGTCCCCTTAAAGTGTACCTAAACAGTGGACAGTGGAAATGTCATATTTTTTTATAATCTATTGTTTATGTAATCGATTTCCAGGTACCCAAACGGCCTCTAAGTTTTCGAGGTTTCCTAATTTCTATAATATAATGTTAAAACCTTATATAAATTTTGCCATGTATAAATAAGAAACATTTTTGTACGGACTCCTTATTTTCATTTTAATTTTATGATAGCCCAAACCTATTCGAAAAAGTTTATATGAAGCCTAATAGAAATAAAATTCAATGGTTTCCATTTTCACCGCTCATAGCACCTATTAATACTTTTAAAACACTAACTCCTAATCTACTTGGTCGTCAAAAGATAGTCCGTATTTTCATCTGGCTTTCATCTTCACGCCACTCACCACATAAAACAGCCGTTTTTTTTTTCCACCATGGCCTCTTTGCGTCTTCCATCTTTAATCAGGGTAGTAAGATAATCATCTCACACAAACCTCTCACGCTTAGCCCATCATACCTACTTTCCCCATAATACAAACTTTGCATATCATTTTTTTTTTGAACTATCAACCCCCACAAACATTTCTTTACAGAAAAAGTATGCAACTCTAATCAACTACAACAAACAGCCACCATGAGTGTTCCCCATAATCGTTACAATAACGAAAGGGTTGCAGATCCACCACCCTCCTTAACATTACATCCCCTCCCCTCGCAATCTATTTCACCACCTTCAATTGGCACAAGGCCTGCATTGCTATCTCTCTGTAGCATATCTGCAGGCCGCAAAAGCTTCGACCTTTCCCTGTACAAACTTTCCATATCATTCACAACCAAAACTTCTCACGCCTAGCTCATAGTCTCCATGTCAACCCCCTCATGTTCTATATTATTTTATCAAGCCCGTGCCACCATCACCTTAATACCCATCATCCTTAATACCGAGCATCTTTCTTCTCACGTGAAACTATATTCCCTTGGAAACATCTTCTAACAACCATCATCATCTAACGTCATCCTCTTCATCAAATACCTGAGCCATCATCTTCTCCCTCCATTATCTTTTCCTCTCTAAATACGTAAAGCTAGTGATCAATATTTCATCCTGCTCTATCCTCAATAACTAAATATTCATATCCCTCCAGTCTTGACATAGGAAATTTTGTGTCGATTAAATTAAGAGACCCAAATACTATCATTGGTTGAGAGTCAAGAACTTCTAAAAAAAGGGTAGATTGTGAGGCGTAATTTTCCATGGATTCTGAGTATGTCACTTCTAAAGAAGAAGTGAGGAAGAGTTTTATTATGAGCTTATGCTTCAATTCCGTGACTTTTGGGAGTGTTTGGATTATGTGTGAGCGATAATTAAATGTGGCCTAGGAAATTCGTTCCAACGGAAAAATCCTAGCACATTTTTTAATTATATATACCGAGTTCTAAGATCAAATTAATTTACATCTTCACGGAGGTTATGCTCGTGGTTAAGGGGCTTTTTGGGGCATTGCATCTCTAACATGTATATATATATACTACAAAACACCCTTAGACGAAAATGAACAGTGATTGTACCTACCCTCATCACCATCCAAACTTCATCGCACGATCATAGTTGTCTGATACTATTTCAATTTTATTTTTTTACTAATCGGAATGATCTGAAATTTAGAGCGTATGTACATTTTAGTGAGGTGCACCTAATAAAAATATAGAAAAAATAATTCGTAAAAAATAAATTCACCAAAATACGCCCAAAAATTTTCAAAGGTATTTTGATCAATTTATATTTTATGAATTATGTTTTTC